AACTTAGAATGAAATAAGTCAGAGTTTGCAAAAAGTGTTGGTAGATAATTAGGCATAATCCCTGTCAAAAGTGGATTCCTAATTTATACAAAGAAAAGACAGAGATAGGACTTTGAATTTTCCGCCACTGCAAAATTGACATCAATTCACACACCAACCAGCATGCCACTTTGAGTCCATTTCATACCCCTCTCTCTCTCTCTCTCTCTCTCTCTATATATATATATAGAGAGAGAGAGAGGTAGATAGGTATAAAGAGGTATATAGGTATATATTGTATTGTGGGGCCTGAAGTGTGATAAACTAACTAAATGAAGGCAGATGGGGTTGTGGGACCTCTCACGAAAAATAATAGCATAAAATAAATCTTTTTTGGTACCGTCCAAAATATTCAAATATTGAGCATGATTAGATTGGATCCGTTCTTAGGCACTTCACTTTTAAGCTTTGTTCCATCAATTCTCAAATCATTTAATAATTTTCATCATTTGAATGTAGAAAATAGAAAATAGAAAATAGAAAATATAAAAAAGGATCAACTAGCTGATGAAAACTATACTACCTAATAATTATAAAATAAATGTCATAATCACACGTCAAGTAACCGGTCTAATTTGTTAGATAATTAGGATCCATCATATAACATATTCTTATGCTGCAATATAAATAGAACTGTGAATATATATATATATATATATAAATAAATAGAAGTACAGTAATTGCAAATTAAAAGAACCAAATCTAATGAAAGTAAGTGAAACCTTGACCAATTGTGTGAACACAAACGCAACATATTGGTTATGGAATGATAGTGAAACCTCTTGCCGCCTTGTTCCCCATTTGAACATATTTAGAGCTTTTCTGTTATGATAATTTAATTAACAAAACTAAATTTTAAACAAGTCAAATATAGAATTACTTAAAAATAAATCTAAATTTAACAAATTAATAATAAATTTGTTAGATATGTTGCCACAAATCTAAAAAGTAATAAGGAGAATAAAATCTCAAATAACAAAATACTTATCCATGTATAACTTTAAGCAATTAGGAGTGAGATGTTCTGACTCTTATTTCCAAATTCGTCTCTAACCTGCTATGGATAAAGTGACTCTTTAGGTCACTCCAACACCCGTTAGTCACATTGATTCAACCAAAATGGTCACGTAGGAATAGGCATGACCCTTTACAACTCTCCTATCAACTCTCGCAGACGAATGGGGTGACATTCGTATTGCTCGTCTGACTTGATATACATGGACAACTAAAGTCAAATTTACGTTGTTGGTCTAACGTGATATACATGAACAATCAAAATTTTTCTTTATATAAGACATTGTAACACGACTATTTCCCAACAGAATATACATTAAGTTTCATTCACACAAATATTCTAACAAACAATGCTTGCGAGGACACCATTGAAGGTGGGTGGGTCTAGGAATAACAACAGGACAGGTTTAGGCCGTTATACCCTTTCAGCATCCCTATTTCCTTTTAACAAATAGAAATTGATTACCTTGAGAGCACCGAGGATATAATACCTCTAACAAATGAAGAATTCTCATTTCCTATTATCAAAGTTTTTGGACCGCATTAAAAATAAAAATAAAAAAAATCCCCTTTTAACATAACATTCTCCATCCTCACCAAAATCCGATAGGCAAAAATTCACGCTTCTCCATAATTGTCCATGCTTAAATTCTCACTCAAATATCTATTAAAAAAATTGTGCATATTTAAATTTTGTTAAGCGGGACTGGATATCTTTCATTAGAGCTGTAATCGAGCCGAGCTAAGCCGAGTTTTGTAGTGTTCAGGCTCGGCTCGGCAAATCCTAGTCATGTTCGAGCTCGGCTCGAGTTCCGTCGAGCCTAGCTCAGCCATGATCAAGCTCGGCTCGAAGTTAATGAGCTCAAGTACGACTCGAATCAAGCTAGTTTTACACTGTAATCCATCATCGAAACAACACCGATCTTCGATGATCGGCGTCGTCGAAACCTAAGCACCAATTTTCAGTATTCACTGCGATGATACTCAAATTCACAAATACCCCATTACCATCGGATATAGGAGAAAGGAGAGAGGTAACATAAGAAAAGAAAGAAGGGTTGATGAGATGATAAAATATAAGAAAAGAAAGAGAGAGAAGTAAGATTCATTGATAAAATACAAAAAGAGAGAGACAGAAGATCAAGTCGTTGAAGTGTCCATGGAATCTGGTGTTCGCTGGCAGATTGCTGAGTGTGTTGCCGTTGCTGCTTGGACTAACGATAATTTTAGAAAAAGGGAAGATGATTAGCGTTAGACATAAGATATAGACTTGGGTTGGATTGTACAGATGAGCTTGATTTTTGTTTTAAAATGAATAAATGATAAAATTGGGTCTAAAACAAAAAGGACTAAACGATTTAATGGGCCTGTGGACTAAGCCTACATAACATAAAATTATATATTATAATTGGATATATATATTATAATCGAGTATGTTCGTGAATGCATTATCGAGCCTAGTTTGTGAACGGTTCATGAACAAACGAGTCGAGTCTACTGATGTTCAGACTGGGCTCGTTTGTAAATCGAGCCGAATAATTTACGAACCAAGTCCGAATTATTCGTAAACGGCTCGATTCCTTTGCAACCCTATTTTTTACCATCATGGTCCAAACCCGTTCCAATAGGAAAAGGGTTGTAGGGTAATTTGCCACTCTTAGGTGGCCCCTACCATTGGGAGTTCTGGAGAGAAAAATAAAGAGGTGGAAATGAGTACACGTGTAAAGTCGAAGTTTGAAAAGGTTATCCAGTATTTTAGGCAGGAAATGTGGACACATGTGGCACCTCTTGACTTTGTACAAGTAGAATGGAAAGAGGAGGAGAAACCAAACCCTTGAGCTTTCATTGCACTGCTGACTGACTGCCCATTTAATTTTTGAAACCATTGTTATTCATATGCACGTACATATGAGGTAGGAGTAACCAACAAGAAAGTAGAATATTTTATCATTATTTTTTTTTGTATCTGATTTAAGTAGTAACTATATTATTATTATTAATAATAATAAAGAAAGTTATCATATCTATAATCTATTGAATAGGCAACGGCCACATGTAAAATAATACTAAAAAGAAAAGAGTCACGCCATCTTCAATAACCTACTTTTGTCAACCAAAAATGGTGATACACCCAATATAGACATTAGACAGCTTTTCAATGATGCCAAAAGAGGATTTTTTTTTTTTTTTTTTTCCTTTTCTTTTTTCTTTTTCTTTTTTTTTGTTTGTTTGCCAAAACATAGACTCATATTTTTGTCTTAAATAACTGTTTTGCGGTAAAATGAGATATTTTATTAAAACCTGTTTGGCTTCAGTAAACCTATTATTCCCCCAAGACAACCACTAAATAACAAAATGCTAATGGATCACACAAGATAGATACTGGGCATATTCTTAATCCTTAATTTTTATTCATAGAAAATGACATTGCCCAAATTACCCACCAATTAAACATCATCCGAACCAATCAATTTAGGGCTTCAAATCAACCCAACTGCTCTAACAACTCGTTTAAAGCACGAAGAAAAAAAGGCGAGCTCAAACTCATTTTCTTGGTTTGTTTAGTATAGTAAACAAGTTAATTCTAAACTTGACTTCGGCTTGTATATAGGACTGTGAATATGTTCATAAACATAGATTTGTATCCCATATAATTTCATGAAGCTCTTAAACACGGGCCTGAAGCTCTTAAACACAGCTCAAACTAATTTTGTTGTCAAACAAGCTGAGTCCAAGCTCAGAGGCTTTTGAGCTCATCCCGAGACAAAGCTCAGGTTTTTGAGCTCATTACGATCCCGAGACAAACCCACCAACGAATGAATGAGCCGAGCTCGTATAAGTTCATTTGCAACTCGAATCATCATCATTGCCTTTGTACCGAGTAAATATATAAACAATAATTCCCTTGAAATGAATGGAACCAACTTCTGAAGGTGTCAAAACAAAAATATAGATGTTTTGCTAAACAGTTTTCCTTCTGCAGAGAGAAAAACTACATAGCAGCAACGTTTTCCTTCTGCAGAGAGAAAAACTACATAGCAGCAAAAATACACAACAGCTTCAGTAAACTAAAAAAGGGAGAAGGAAATATATAAACCATCAAATGTTTTTTCTTCTTTCTTAAATCTAAAATCCCTCATTAACCCTATAGATAATTAACCACCACCACCACAAAATAAATACCTAACAAAAACAAAGGACAAATACAAGGATAAAAATATCCCAAACAGATGAATCCAGGAAGAAGGTCCAAGCTAAGGAAATACCAAACAAGAGGCATTTTAAATCAAATGTGTATTAAACTACAAAACCAAATCACCAACAAACCATTAAAAAAGAAGACGACATTACCAAAGAGGTTTCAAATCCCTTTAATGAAACATTCTGACAATAGAACCAAAGACCTAAAACTACTTATAATCAAAATCCAAATTCACTTACCTCATCAAATATAGATAAAAACAGCAGCCTCCTTAATCCTAATACCCAATCAGAATCCCTACTGTGATCTCCCCCATTGACCAAGAAGACGATACAATGCCAGAAGACCACGAGCAAGAGCAGCTTGCCAAGGAAGATGATCCACACTAGCTTCGGCAGAAAGCTCTTCCGAATGCCCAAGCTCTAAACACAGGAACATCCCAAAAGTTTGGGTAAAAGCCAAAAGCGACTATTCGAAAGCAGTCCCAAGCAGGCCCACCAAATCAACTTCCTAAGACTTCTATACAACATTCATATAAATGTCAAGGGTAGTAATATTAAAGATAGGATGAGCAAAGAAACAAGACACTTCACCATCAAACCCTCCCAATTTCTATGTACAAACAAAAGATATTATCATCACCACAGTATAATACAAAAACTCCTCTCTCCAATTTGGGGTTCAAAAAAATTGTAACAGCATCATAATCAACACACCATACAATATAAATATAGGGACTCCAGACTAAATAAAAAAATTTAGAGGTTAATTTCATATGTGCCAGACATATCCATGTACACCCTCACCACACATATATAAGAGGAAAGATACTGTTTTCAACTGATCTTTCAGAGGATTAAACCTTCAGAAAAAGGGAAACAAAAAGATTAGCAAAGTAGAAAAGAAACCTCCATTTACGCCCCAAAAAAGGAAGAAATTTGTCTTTCATTCGTCTGCTTTCCCAATTTCCTTTATCAACTTCCCTCTTTTCCATACAAATAACATAAATGAATTTTCACTTTTCTTTCCATAGCCCAACCTCTCATCATCAGAAACCAACCGGATTAATTAGAGAATTCACCATCAACCCTGTCAGATTATAGACACAAGTTCACATAGATACAATTCAATTCATTCACAATCCAATAAAATTCTATGGAGGACCATCTTTCACCCCACTATATTCAACTTCTTTCCAAAATTGTGGGTTGTTCATTCCAAGAGTTCAGCCTGTTTGTGTCCCATCGTTCCGAGAAGCTCTTGCAGGTTTGAACGCGCACATCAAATGCGGAATAATGTCAACATTGACTCATTGCCATGCTTCATTTCTTCTCAGGCTGCCAGCATGCATGCAAATTATCATTTCCTGGTCAAGAAATCGTGTTCGGTTCATAAATTTGCTATGTCCATTTTAATCTAAAACTTTATGAACTTAAATATAAATATAAATAGGGTATGCATTATACAGGGTAAAAAAGAACTACTACATAAATAGAGATGTAGTGCTCACCAGCTGGTTGTTTCTGCTCCGCTGATTTCACCTGAACTGCGGCCGGAACAGAGTGAACATATGGGAAGCCTGCAAGCTGATGTGGGTTCCCGGAGGACTGTCCTGCAAACTGGGCTGTATGGAGAATACCCTGCGAGGGTAAGCCGCCCCCTTTCATATTGCTAGCAGCAGCAGCAACGACTGCTTTTGCTGGGTCAGAAGTACCTAGAGTGACTGGAGGGCACAAAGACAACATCCCAGTTGAAGACGTAGCAGATGAACCCTGTGGCTGATCGGGACGCCGTCTTTGAAGATAATAAGCATTAGGTCCTGAAGCGGCAGAACTCGAGCTGGTAGAATGAGGACCTTGGGCTTGCATGAAAGCAGTAGAGAAGAAAAGCTGTTGCTGCTGCAATGCCTTTGGTAACTGCTGCTGCTGTTGTTGTTGCTGCATCATTTGAGGCTTAGTTCCAGAGTTTGAAGAAGAGGTAATATGAGGGTTGCCAAGAATTGAAGGAACATTCTTTCCACCAACTGGAGAAGACTTCTGGCTGGCTCCAGATGGCGAGTTCTTGGTTTGTTGAGACGACAATGTAGAAGGTTGGGCAGCTTTGATGCCTGTGGAAGTGGAAGTCGTCGTCCTTGGGCTTCCACTAGCACCTTTGGAGATCGAAGAAGTTGTTGGAGAGCCAACCACTGGAGGAGATGGGGACTGATTACTATTGAGAGCCTGTTGCCCTTGTGATGCAGCCGATGATTTGGGGTTAGTGCCGAAAGATATCTGTGTATGACTTTGCTGGGATCTCGCCTGCTGTTGGGAAATGCTTTTGAGGGATGATGGGGTTGATGAAGCCAGTGATGATGGAACTTGGGAGGTCGTGGTTTTGACAGAGTTTTTCCATTGCGGCGACTGAGCCGGACTGCTGCCACTGCTTTGGACAATGCTTTGTGGAAAAGGGGAGAGCACATTTTGGAACTTGGCAGTCATTGAAGACGAAGTTAAGCGATCAGAGTATACACTGCCATTACTAGTGACCGGTGTCTTACTCCGAGCTGCTGCAGCTGCCATATGATGTTGCTGCTGCTGCTGCTGCTGCTGCTGCTGTTGTTGCTGCTGGTGCTGCTGCTGCTGCTGCTGCTTTTGAAGCTGAATCATCTGTTGCTGATGTTGCAGTTGAGCTTGCAGCTGAGAATTAGGAGTACTTACAGTGCCCATTGCACTCGGTAAAGGAGAACGAGAAGTTCGGCCAGAAGTAGATGGAATGTGTAGAGTTCGAGCAGAGCTATCAATGACTGTGTTGCCTGAGATAGATGAAACAGATACATCTGTTAATTCTGATCTTGAGAAAGCAATTGACTGCTGCCCGATAGTTGCTGGAGCTTTCCCAGCTAAGCCTTTTTTCTCGTCATCCCCATTATTAGAGGAATCACCACCTCCAGTTTTACCTTCTTCAGAGACTTGGAAATTCTTCTGCTGCGCTACTGCTGCTGCCATAAGCTGATAGCCATGTTGTCTGGTGGCCTCAGGGAGGCTCTGGATAAATGCATGACTCTGCGCAATGGATGAAATGTCAATACCAGGAGCTGTAGTAGCACTATTGATAGAAGCAAATGACATGGCAAAAGTTTGGGGCGGCAGCGCTTCAACTCCGGCCTTCAAGCCTTGCTGTTGTGATTGTTGCTGTTTCTTTTCATTTTGATTGCCACCAGCACTGACACTTGTACCAGCTAATACTGAAGGAGGGGTCGTCAACAAAGCAAAGTTCTGGGGGTGAATGGGCATTGCAAAATTCTGACCATATACATTCATTGGGGCACGAGAAACTCGACTATCAGCTGTTGAAGGGCTATCTTCGCCACCCACCTCAGTTTCAAGCTGGCGTGCTTGATGTGAATGTGTAATTTGCTGATTTGACTGCTGCTGCTGAGATGGCCTGCTTTTTGGGGCAGGAAAACTATTCAAGTTTCCATTTCCACTCCCACCATTGGTGCTACTGCTTTGAGGCCTCTGCTGCTGGCTCTGCATATGCTTCTGGGACGAGGAGGCACTGGAAATGCTGTTGTTTTGATGCCCTTGTTGCATTAGCTGTGGCTGAGAAGGTGGTTGTTGCTGGTGCTGAAGCTGCGATGGATGAATCATCTGAGAAGAATAGAAAGACCCATTGAAGTAGGGCATTGCCTGAGGATGGCTTCCTCTATAAGTGGGTGGTGCTGCCACGGCAGGAATTGGAAACGGGTATCCATTGTTCTGCAATATCGCCAAGTACTGGGTATCATTGGTTGTCATATTTGGGTAGTTGAAACTCACTGCAGCAGCAGTGGTGGCCGCCGTTGCTGAGGCACTCACTGAAGCAGAACTAGATGATGCATTAGATGAAGATATACCGCCTGCTGTGGTTGGAGACTTCATAGACCCAGGTCGAGCAGACACAGCTGCAGTTGCTGCATGCTGCTGACTCAGGGGGAAGATGAAAGCAGGTCCATGCTGAAGGTTTGAAACCCAAAAGAACACGTAAGTGCCTAAAAAAACCCATATATCCTAAATGAACAATTTGACAATTAAAAATCAATGCAGTTCGGAATTAAGAAGCATACCAGTATATTATTAGGAGGGACACCAGGGGGCAAAGCCTGATGGAGCAAAATCTGTGGCTTTCTCTGTGCGGCATCTGCAATGTTGCCAGCTTGAGAGCCTTTGTCTTTCCCAGTAGGACCAGGGAAAATACCAAGACCCTGCCCTTTGTCCTGCAAAGAGTTAACACTTCTCCCAGCAACGTTTCCATGCAATTCTACAGGGGGAACAACATTGAGATTGCTGGGCTTAGCAGCTCCAAACAAAGATGCAGAACCAGCAGCAGCAGCAGGCCAGAAAGGATTCATCTTCATCAGTTGTTGGAGATTGTGAATATTCCGAGCAATGTAGCAATGTGTTGCACACCTTTTAAACTGGGGTAGAGAGAAAATGGGCGATCAATGAAAAGGGAAAATTAAAATGCCTTACAATTACTCCCAAAGACTTCAAGAAGAAATGAAGAGTTTTGAAAGTAATCAAAAGCACAATGTGATACCTGTAGAGGCGTAGAAGATACGGTGCTCCCATCCATGGATACAACTCCTTGAAAAGGTGCCATATATCTGCTGATAAGAATAAAAAGTATTTCCCCAGAGTTATAAGCATCTAAATCATCAATAAACACTGAGCATTGAAACAGAAAAAATCAATCCGACCATACCCCACTGGAGGAAGCCCACCGGGCCAGCTTGCCATAGACATCGGCAAGGGCAAAGGTCTGGATTGAGCTGAGAAAGGAAAAAAGAAAATCACTCGATCAGCAAAATCCCACTAAGAAGCAGATTGATGGCTGGCTCACTAGAGAAATAACAAATTCAAATTAACTTACCAATTTTCTCTGCGTGTGGCTCTTCTTCCTTTGCAGATTTTAGTGGTTGCAGCTGTTGCTGTTTCGGAAAATGTTGGTGTACATTGTTGCCAATTGCACTACCCACACCGTCACTATCTCTATCAGGCTTTTCTAAATCAAATTGAAGATCAATTTTCCTCTCCTTGTTAACAACTGGCTTATGTGATTCAGCGTCTTCCACCATTGTTTTGGCTTTTTTCTCCTCAGGTTCTACATTCACCGCACTGTCCTTGCCATTTTTTACAGCATCGCCGTAGTCCTTGTCCACGGTAATGTGTCTCGTCTCCTACACAAAATTCATTGATAGAATTTGAGTTACACTGCACCAAACCAAACAAGATGAAATAAGGAACTGAAAAGCGCCATCAACTCACTGCATCAGCACGGGATGCCATTCCTTTACGATCCGCTTCTTTAGCAACTAAATCGATCTGGCCTTCCCTTTCCGGTGATGATCTTAATTGAGGAGGTGGTGCCTACAAAGATAATTTATTAAAAAAATATTATTTTCTTTTCAAATTTCCAAGTTGAAAAAGTCAAAACAAAAAAGTTTCTTGCAATCTTCTTCCTCACCATCAGATCTATCTGAAACTTCTCCTCTCGTTGGCTCTCAATCTCGTTGGCTCTGAAATTATCAAACATAGAATTAACATAAAAGAAACTTAGGACACAGAAAATTTACTCTACGAAAAAGGGAATAGTAAAAGAAAAAGTGGAAACGTTTGGATGCTCACGCTTTGGTCGCTGTCACGTCCTCACCATCATTGTCTGCTCTCGTCGCAGGAGATTCTTTCTTCGGTGAGGTGACCTCCTCCTTGGTTGCAACCACATCTCTTCTGGTTTCGCCTACAGTTTCCATCAAAGGCTTTGATTGCGAGAAGGCACTGCTCTCCGGCTTACTCAACTCCGGCGGTGGTTCCGGCGACGGCGTAACAGTTTCAGATTTAGACAAATCGTATGGAACACCGCCATTTTCAGCTGCAGATCCTGAGGTTTTCTCCAAATTGGGAGACGAAATTTCGGCCTTCGGTGGCTGATCCATCTCCACCTTTGTCGTCGAACTCATATTGTTCCGAACACCAAGATTACCCAGATTGTCAGACACTTGCCGGGGTCTTTTCCTCTTTGGAGCTGCAGATTCAAACCAAAAGACATATTCAGATCAGCAAATTGCCAAAGTCCAAATATATATATTATATACATATATATTGGAAATCAATACTAGCTCAAAACTCACCAACAGCCGATAAAGGAGCTGCTGGGGAGCTAGAATTCTGCGCTAACATCGCAGATGACTGAGCTGCCGTTGACGGCGAGTTTGATATCGGAGATGAAACTCTTGACTTTGCATCGCTACTTGATTTGTTTGTCTCTCTCGAATCGAACTTGGCGGAATTGTTAGCCACAGTTTCTTTCTTAGAAGGTCCCTGCGACTGTGTCATCAGTCCATACAATACCTCAGCAATCTCTATCTCCAGCTCCTCCGGGTTCGAAGAAGATGACTTCGATGTAGATTTTGGCGGTCTCGGCTTGGATCCATTGGGCTTCTACAACAGCAGAAGCTAGTGTTATTATTCAATCAAAAAAAATCAAATGGGTCAGTAAAAATATATATATCTGTATATATATAGAGAGGCAGGGGCTGACCATTTTCTTCCGAGCTGAAGCATTGGAAGAAGACGGAGATGCTGGAGCCGGATAAGGGGTAGACGTCGATGCAAGGCTTGGTCTCAACGGAGAAGTCGAAGTTTGCCGGTAAATTGTATCTCCTACAACTCCACTACCTGAAACCCAGCATTCATGTGACCTCTTCGTTGACGCTAAAACCACACAAAAAAGAGACCAATTAGAAAATCTCAAACCTTTACAATACAATACCAAACCAGTTATTATCAAAAGTACCCTGTCTCGACAATCTACCTGACCGAGCTTTCCTCGGTACCGACACACCGATCATTTCGTCAGCTGCTTTCCACGCCGACGCAGGTCTCGGAAGTTTAGCAACCGGTGGGAAGCTCTTCCGGTGGTGATGATTCAGCGTCGACGACGACGTCATCAACACCGCCGGATTGGGTGGCAGCGCACTCAACTCATCATCCTCCAACTCATCTTCATCGTTCACACTCTCCTCCGTACTGTCCTCTCCGCCGTCCTCTCTATTACTCCCATGCATCAATCTATCACCTCTCCGCCTCTTGCTCCGACTCAACCTGTCTCGATCTCGATCTCGATCCCGATCTCGATCTTTCCTTACTCCTCGCTCTCGTAACCGGAGCGCCGGCTCCGGTAACTCCACCAGTCCATCTTCCTCTGCAATTATCAAACCAAGCAAGGAAAAACTGTCAAAAAACCCCAATCAAATCGATACAAAGATCGATATATAAAATTAGATCTGAACAAGTTCTAACCTGGTGAATCTCTCAGACTGTTGCTTCTGTGTCTTCGTCTCGACAAACCATTTGTGGCAGCAATATTAGCTCTTCTAGCCTCTCTATTTCTGTCCATGATAATTTTCTCATAAAATCAACAAAACTCAGGTGTTAGAACGCAATTCGCCGGAATTTGCAGATTCAGAGTTGTCGCCGGTGAAAAAAACCCGATTCGAATCAAACATCTTCCGCAAAGAAATTGCTTTCAAAGATCTCTCTCTATCTCTCTCACACACACAGACCGTGTGTTTTTGCTCCTCCAGTACTCTGCCCTTCTCTCTCTACTTTCTCTCTCTATCCTCTCCTCCTATCTCTCTCTGTCTTTCTGCTCTCTATGACTCTATCTCATCATCTTTTTGGTATTTCACTATCTGCGAAACCCACTCCAAACCCTCGTGGAAGGCTGTGATTAATCTCTTTTGACATATACCCCAATCTTAGCCGTTCATTCGACGACACATCCAACAGCCACCGTCTCCCCCATTTGCCAACTTGGCAAAATAATATCCGTCCGATACACAGCACTAACTCCTTGCGCCGCTCACGGACACGTGCCAGTTTTTACTTTCTCTATAAGCTTCGTTCTCAGTCCTAACAATCCGCAAAATAAATAAATAAAAACCCATTAATTAAAAAACGTAAAAAAAAACTTTTAAAATATTATTATTTATTAAAAAATATTTAAAAACTTTTAAAATATTCACTTTTCATGATCAAACAAGCAAATGCCCTCACTTCCTTCGAGAGGTGTCTTTTTTACCGGCTATAGCCAGTCACAGAGGGACCTTGGTAAAAGCAACATGACGATCACAAGGAATCTAATGTGACCGCAGAAAATATCGACCAGCCGGTCAAATTCATTACTTCCGGTTCCCACTTTTTTTTAATATTAATTATTAGTAATTGGTTAGTTAGTACTGAATAGTGTGTGTATATATAAATATATATTTATAAAAAATACCAGTAGGGCCCACATGAATGAGGAAAATGAACGGACGAGATCCTCCAAGTTCGGTGTTGGAAATTTCCTCTGCCGTTAGAGGGATGTCGGACGTTTTCGGAAGGTAGACGTGGCGTATCATTCTTTAAACAAAACAAGATTCCAATGAACGAACCAGTCCGAGCTGGCAACGAACCGAACAGGTTCGTGGGCGTCGTGTAACGCGCCTGATCTGGACCGTCCGTGGAGAAGATCGGACGGTGAAGGTGAGTGGAGCGGTGTAGGAAGAAAACTGGACCACGAAACTTCCGAGATGTGTTGGGTCCCACGTTCGAGCTGCCGATCTAGAAATTATTTCCTTGAGTTTGCCTTATTGTCACGTTCTATAGGTGTGGCAACCGTGGTGACGTGTGTGGCCCTACTTAAAATTTTACCAAGGTATTAGTGCTTTAAAACCATAAAGTTTCTTCTCTATCTCCAAAATAAAAAATAATAATAATAATAATAATAAATAAATAAATAAATAAAAATTCCTAAATTATAAAGTAGATATTTAACCCCTAAATTATACCATTTGTTGCAACATATCAAATTCTCTTAGTTGGACGTCTCATATTGACGCCAAGTGGAGGCACGTGACTCATGTGCTTTGGGCAAAATTTATTATTCCAAATATAGCCTTATGACCGTTATGCCATTGTATATACACCTAGACTGACCCCGCAGTTTGCTCTATTCATCCCATTTCGGTACACAACGACTAAGACAGAGAAGACGCAAATACAAATGATGGTTACAGCGGAACAAAAACCCATGTGAATCGTGGTGAGAGAGATCGGATATTGCCGGTTGTAGAGCTTACGATCGAGGATGTACTTGTTGTAGACGATGACGATGAAGATGAATCATGTAAGATGTTGTTGCTCACACACACTGAAACTTATTGGACCAAGTCTCACTAGATTGGTTCTGTATGCAATGCATGAAGCTTACAGCAGGGTTAATACTGGAACGAGATTAACTGAGCTTGCTGGTTTAAATTGGGCTTCCCCAGATTTGGGGCTCGTTGAATTTAACTATGTGTTGTCGATGTAGGTCGACAACACTCATAGCTTCGCCATTGTGGCGGTTTGAGCTTCTTGATTCTATCATGTTTGAAATCTCATACGACAACGTGAAACTCACTTGAATGGGTTTGTGGATGTGGTAAAGCCACGTCACCTAGTCAAATCTAGGTGGCCCCACGACATCATTATTCCAACCAGGAAAGACAAAATCACAATTGAATTCAAAAAAAAAAATAAGATTGGGTCGAGGAGTATAGCGACCCAACCATGACTTGTCGATCGAAGGGCCTAGAATATCGATCCAACCCGACCACGAATCGTCGATCGACGGGTCTAAAACCTCTTTCCAACCAACCACAAATCGTCTATCGACGGGCCCAGAACCTTGATCCGACCAACCATGAATCGTCGATCGACGGGCCTAGAACATCGACCCGACCCGATCACGAATAATGGATCGACTGGCCTAGAACCTCGATTCGACCCAACCACGAATCATCGATGAACGGCCCTACAACCTCGATCCGACCTAACCAAAACGAATAGTAAATGGTAGGACTTCTTCGTTATCAGGGGAATACAAAAGGGGCTTTGGAATGGATGAAAGAAAGCTAGTCAAGTCTTGCAAAGATAAGACCCAATTCAAGGACCAAAGTGTGAGATAGCCGGAGTAAATATCACTATCGTTACGTATAATCCTACCTTGGTCACTTAAGGATGAGCGTTACACTTATTAAATAGTCCTGAAGGATAGGGATTAGGGCAGTGTGATTTTTAAAATTACATGGGCCCTACCCTATTTAGAAGGAGGCCCAATAAATGCTTCTTAAATGACCTAAGGCTATAAAATGAAGGAATGGAAAAAGATTACAGGCAGGGCTGTTCGAACCACGCACTCTAGGCATCATCTTTCCTACCATTACTCCAGTTCTCGCTTTGGGCTAGCTTTCCCCCCCTTCCTTAGTTATTCTGCTTTCCTTACATTGTTTTAAGTAATATATCCCAGACCCTTTGACTTTTCAACTACATCGTATAAATAGGTATCTAAAGGGTTTTACCGGAATTGTTCACTTGAAGGTATTTTGCCATAGTTGATGGATGCTGTAATTATGTGCTCTTGAATTATGGACTTCAATTGGAGCTCATACAGGTATTTGAGTAATTTAGTTGATCTGTTTTATCTCTGGCCCTATAAGAACTGACGAACTATGTTACGTCGGAGTTGAGCAAGCTCACCGAACTAGTTCTATGAACTTCACTGAATTGGCTCTATGAGTTGCACTATTGGGTGGGTATTTCGAACTATACAGAAGTTCATTGGAATTGGTTTTCTTGGTTCAGTCACCATAGAAACTTGCAAATAGAGCTGTAACTTCTGTCACTTGTACTACTCGTCAAACTGGACTAAAATTGTCGGTCAAACGCATGTGAAAGAGATAAATAGGGAGAAAAACAATGGCGGGTTGATGAAATGGAGGTAGGTTGAGGAGATGGGTGCGCATGATAAACATGGAGGGGTGGTATGATTAGAGGTATATATATATACCTAGATGAACATATACATATATACATATATATATATATATATATATATATCTTCTCTTTTTGGGGTTAGGTGTCGCTTCTTTATTGGTTCTGAAAAATACATCGCCATATTAGCATTTCAACAATATAAAAAAATTAAAACAACGTAGTTTAACTAAGGGCTAAACGGTAATTTGGTTTTTCTGTTAACAACTCGTTTATGGTTGCAACAAAATGATAGTTGAGGCGGTTTTTTCTTAATTCAAGATGGTTTCTTGCAATCCGGTCATACTTTTTTTTGTGGGGGGGGGGGGGTGGGGGTTCCATTGTGAGTCACAGTTTCCGAAGTACCTAATTATTTTGGGACGAAATGAATACTATTTATACACACGTCGTAAATAAAGAAAAGATTTCTCTAATATATATATATATATATTTGACAAGAAATTCACTCAGCCGTTGAAAATTATTTCACTTAATAAAAAAATTAAAAAAGAGTTTTTTATTAATTCTGTTCTTTTTGCATGAACAAACGATGAAATGGTGCAAATGGAACAAATAGTTTGATGACTATCAAAAGCCTTATTGCTTATCACAAGTTAATATTTATGATCTCTTGCTGTAAAAGGACCTTTAACAGTAAAATGATAATTAAACACTGTGCATTGAAAATTGAGATCAAAAATGAAGATTTTTAAAACTAAACATATTATTTTATTAATAAAATTACAAAATTTAATTATTTTGACTTTTTAAATTTTGTTTGACTATGTTGATATAGTTTAAGAATAAATGATACCTACAAAACTTCTCTTTAACCTACAAAGTATACTCCCTCCATTACATTCACTCCCTTATGAAACTTCTCACTCCCACATTGGCTTTCTTATAAAAACTTCTCCTATGAAAACTTCTCACTCTCACCCATGCAGTTCCTAATCAACGGTTACGATTTAGTTTCTAAAATTATTCATTTAAATATTTGTATATTGATATTTTTTTACTATTTTGAAATCTTTTCTAATCTATACAAAATTTTCAATGTTTGAGAATCTTTTATTTACAACAATACATACTTCTTTATTATTTATAATCTTTTATGTTTTTGAAATGAAAATATATTAGTCTTTAGAAAAGAAATAGTAAATGTGTTGTCAAAATTTTATTGCCAAATTTCTTTTAAAAAAAAGTTTATACCCAAAAATATCAACACTCAATAGTTGTAATAAATTGTTAGGCATATTTTTTTTAATTGGTCAATTATATAATAAATAAAAAAGTGGAGCCCTCCATTTAGTTTTATTTGGTATAAATGGCTAATTAAAAATGATTCTGTTAAACAATTCACTGCAAGTATTCAATATGAGTATCACTACTCAGTTTGTTAAGATACACACCAATGTGTAAACCTTTTTACATCGTAGACATCATCATATATCATTTTACACCGTAGACATCATCATATATCATTTATCCTCCCTCTTTATCATTCCATTAACGAATATTAAGTAGGTTTGTAAAAATTATGTAGGTTCAATGCATGACACTGGTTTGTTATTCTTGCTGGATATATTTTTACATAAAAGGTATAAAATAACCGTTATAGTTAAAAATAAATAATCTAAAATTTTTGTATAAATTTATTATGAGAGATCAGATTTACAATATATATATATATATATATATATATATATATATTGTATTTTAATATTTGTATGTACTTATTTTACTGACATGATTGTGATTGCTACCAAAAGCCTTTGACCTAATAGTATAATCTTCTCGTGATTGTTTAATCTTATAATTTTAGTGGCTTA